AAAAAAGGAAAGAAATTTTCCTTCCTTTTTTGTCCTCCCTCCTTCCCTTCCTCCCCTCCTTTCCTCCCTTCCTTGCTTCCTTCCTTTTCCCGGCTGCTTGAGGGATGGGAACCGTTCTTTGTGTCCCCTATTACAGCACCCTAGGGCATTTTGCTCCGTATATGTTGGAGCTTCAACAGTAGATCTCAGTCAGACTCTTTTACTGCTATATCTTCCACTTTTTCCCCCCAACTACTTGCCCTTTTCTCCAGAGCCCATGTTTTGTAAAGCCTTTATGTCGTTGCTTGGGTTGTGCCTGTGTTGGCTTACTGTTTCTTCAGTGCCACTCCCACCTCCGTCACATGCCCTTCAGTACCCTTTAAACCTCTGCTCAAGCACTGGCCTCTTCATCCCCTCCTCCGTTCTGTTCTTGCAGAACCTCGAAACTGCCCTAGTTACAGGGATTTTTACATTCTGTCTTCCTATTTATACTTGGTAGCTCTTTGAGGGTGTGGATATTCTCTCACGCATTTGCGTCTTCAGTGCTTAGTAGGTGATCGATAAATTTTTGTTAAATGAGTGGAGAGATGAAGTTGTGACCCAAACAGGACACTGTTTACAGTTAATAAAGAGGAAATGTTTGAAATGAGTAGTACTACTTGTCTTTGTTGATCCATAGAATTCTTTTCTCCCTTTGCAGACTATAAAAAAAAAATACTACTATAGCTTGCTTAATTTTATTTCACTGAAATGATGGTGTAGGAATATTTGTATTTTTGAGCCAGGGTAGACTGAAGTCTTTCAGATCAGCCCATCCTCCTAGTGATCCCTTAGGGAACTTTCCTTGGGTCAGTGTGGAGCCAATGCTTTGTGGTAGATTAAAATGACCTCTAATGATTGCATCATTCATGATTTTATCAAATTCTTTTGTTGGGGGAACTATTCACATGTTTATCACTAATTGTGAAAAATTATACATTTTGATTTTCCTAAAATTAGCTGTGAGCTACTAGAACTATTCCCTAGTACTAATATGAAAATATTTGGTGAGTAAATCTGTATTTGTGTTATCAAAATCCTTCTTGATTTTATACACCAAACTATTTCTACTTTTGGCCTATGTCTTTTCACACTGAGGAGGGCTGGTGTGTTTTGATTCTTTCATGCAAATAAACTGGTGCCTTTGATCATTTTTCTCATTTGAATTGACTCCAAGTCCAGAAAGAATTTTTTGGTGTATGGTGACCCTATATGTATGAATCAGGAGAATATTTCCTCAAGCTGTCCTTGATTATATTGGCTTTTATTTGGCTTTATTCTGTCTCTGTATTTCTCTATTTTAATTTTTATTCTAAATCTCTGTTTCTTGCTAGGAATGGATAAATTATATATTAGATTGCATTATTTGTTTTTAAATTACATATTATAAATTACATATTATTTACAGTGTTTTTCATAAGTGGAATGTGACATAGCAATATTTTCTTCCATTTTTGTTATGTCTCCAACTAGGTACTGTTAGTAATAATTCTATTTATTAATTAAAACATAGCTGGGCTAATGTGTCTTCCTAAAAACAACAATAATAAAAGACTCTTGCAGTATTCCATTGGAAAGATATATAATTACGCATTTTAGCCAAGAATTACATCAGTAATTTTCAGATTATGTTCTAGGGAAAACCAGGTTTAGAATCAACTAATATTTGTTTAGTGTTTACTTATGTCAAGTGTTTTAGGTGATTTCTCATGTAGTTCTGTGCCTTTGATCTTAGTAAACTTCCTAAAGTACTTATATTACATTCAGGGAAAAACTGATCCATTGAAAGGTAACAAATCTATCATCTTTAAAATTAAACTACTTTTAAAAATAAGTATTGTATTTGTGGAATTGAAGATAAAGTGTAGTTAAGTTATTAAGAACAACACTCACAGATCCTGGTTTATGTTTTAAAGTAATTGCATCATGTTTTAGTGTCAAAATTAATTTAACTGACCATGTTAGCAGGCATTAAGAATTATTATCAAAATGGCATGTTTTCTATTAATTCAACTGACATGTATGCAAAAAGGTGTAAAGATGTTAGATGCAGGCACTTGTTTTCTGAACATATCTTCTAACCAGAATGTAGCCTACAGATGATGTCCCAGTGCTCCCTCTGAAAGCGGTCCCTTCTTCTCTGCCTGTGGAGCCATTACTCGAGTCTGTCTTGAGATGTCATATCTTCTCTATAGCTTTTCATGATTTCTTTTGTTCTTCTCTGTGTTCCAGTGCTAGTCTATATATGAGACTGGGTACATATTTTTTGTTATAGTTATTTGCTTCTCAGACTGCATATGGGTGTCCTTCATTGAATTTCTATTATATGTAAATGCATACAGTTTCCTATAAGAAAACAATTCTTACTCTTCCGGGATGTCTGCACTAGTTGGTCCAGTTACCTGTTTGATTGTACTTGCTGCTTTATCTGCTACCTAGGAATCACAGCACAGGCCCTGTTTCTGCAAAACAAGGGTATGGACTAGGGATTCCTAAGCTCTCCTGTATCTCCACAATATTGCCATTATATGATTCTAATCCATCACTAGAAATGTATTATGAAATAGTTAATATTTAAGGGATGCTTAGAGAATTTTTAATGAGAAGTAGATACTTATAGCTAGTGTTAATTGATAGAAGTGTTATTAACCTTTTCCTCTTTTTTTTTTGAAAGAATGTACTTTGAAGAATAAATTACAATCTAGTGAGATACTTTCATGGTTTAATAAAATTTAGCTTTTAAAAACAAGCATCAGTGATGTTGACTATAGAAACCAAGAACCTTGCATATAAATAGTTACAATAAAAAGGAGAAAAACATCAATGTACAGTTTTCATAATTTTTCAAAATATTTTAAACATGATAGTAACTTCTTATTCCTTCAGTTTCCTTGTAAAGGAGGCAAGACAAGTACTCTAAGATCTAGAGAGATTAAGGGCTCATTCATTCCTTAAATGAAAATGTTGAGCATTTACACATGGGTACAATGATTGAAGGTACAATGATGAATAATTTACCCTACTTGACTTCAAGAGTAGGAGAGACAAATTCATAAACAAATATATTAGTTGATAATGTTGTCAATTATGGTAGAAGCATGGAAAATGGTGCACATAACTCTGGAGTGGTGTTTGGTGAGACTCCACAGAAGAGGTGATTTTTAAAGGATTTTCATTAAAGAATGAGTGGAGATTTGCCAGAAGAAGAGGAATAAGGTGAGGAGAAGGGTCTTGCAGGAAAAAAGAAGGAAAGTATGTAGAGATCCAGAGTTATGAAAGAGCCTGGGTATTGGAAGAACAGTGTCAAGTTCAATGCAGCTAGAGCATTACTGTCCAATATAAATATAAATATGTAAGTTAAAAATTTCAAATTTCATATTGAAACATAAAAAACAGGTGAATAATAATATATTTTATTTAACCTAATACATCTGAAATATTTATTTTTTTTCATACTTAACTATGAAGTATTCGATTTTAAAGATTAAATCAGGTCTGTATTTTACACTTAGAAAACATCTCAATTTGGGCTAGCCACAGTATCTAGAAGCTTCCCTAATGTGTGTGTGTGTGTGTTTAAGAGAGAAAGAGAGGAAAAGGGTAAGGGAGGAAGAGAGAATGAGAAAAAGAATGAAAACATTTGTGGGGTGCCTGGGTGGCTCAGTTGGTTAAGCATCTGACTCTTGATTTCAGATCAGGTCATTATCTCAGGATTCTGAGATCAAGCCTGGAGTTGGGCTCTGTGCTGAGTATGGAGCCTGCTTAAGATTCTCCCTCTCCTTCTTCCCGCTCTTGTGCTCTCTCTCCCTTTCTCTCTCAAAACAAAACAAAAACTAAAAAAAGAATGAAAACATTTGTGTGCTCTAGAGGGGGAAATGGAGAGATGAGGCTGTGGTTGTTGTTGGAGCATATTTTGAAAGGCCTTGTATACTGGCTGAATTTGGAATTTATCCCTATAATATAGTAGCTTATGACTGTGATTCTCAAATGATCTTTAGTGAAAGGCCAGTTTTTAAAATTTCAAATTTGTTGCAGACTGATACTTTTGCAAAATAGAACAGCAATGAATTAGAAAAATGAAAGACACACAAAGAGAAGCACCATTTTTTAATCATTAGATTTGACAAATGTACAATTATTTGTTAGTTGTTTATAAAGATGTCTAAATTAATGCTATCCAATAGAACTTTTTATGATGATGGAAATGTTATGTCTGTGTTGTCCAATATGGTAGCCCCTAGCCACATGTGGGTATTAAGCATTTGAAATGGGGCTAGTATGACTGAAAAACTGAACATTTTATTTAGTTTAAATCAATTTAAATTGAAATAACTACATGAGGCTATTGTCTGCTTTGTTGCACAGCACTGGATAGGTTTACTCGCAACTTCTGTATCTACTGTAGACTACTGAAAACTAGCTGTGGACTGGCCTTGGTCCTCAGACCATACTTTAAGTAGCATTGTTAAGAAACTAACTCATAGAGTTGTTGTGAGGATTAAATGTGTAGCAGGTGGAATTAGGGAAAGCACTAAGAAAAGATGATATTTGTAGGGGCCTCAATGGATGAGTTCAGTAGACAGAGAGGAAAGAGCCTATTAGGTACAGGGAACTCTAAAACCCATTTGGATAATATTCTATTTAGAGGGAGGGGCAGCAGACAGCATGGTTTTAACCTTATCACTGCTACCACACTGCTAACACTCTCTTTCTTTCCTGGTTGTCTTATTTTAACCTTTTAGCATAGCTTAAACTGGATCACTAGGTAACATATGATTCTGTGGTTTTAGTAAATACTGCCTATTCAGCCAGTCATTGCCTCTTTATACTTCATTCCTGGGAGTTATGGTGCCTGAAGTTGATGGTGGAAGTTGGGCAGTGGTTGAGAAGGGAAGGGGACTCCTGTTTGAAAAGCAGTCCCTGGGTTATGACAGGTAGCTGTGAGATTCTTTCCCCCTAAAACGTGTTTCTTACTTATATAGATTATTTTAGGAAGAAAACCAACTGGAAGAATCAATGAAGTTCCTTCTTTTCACATTTGTTGGTGTTGTTCACCTTTTCTCCCTGAACTCTGGGAAAGCGATATATAAGAATGACATCTCTCAGAGGACTTTTCAAGAAGTAAAAGAAGAAATAGCCCACTATGGAGATGTTGCTAAAGCAATCATCAACCTTGCTGTTTATGGTATAGCCCGGAACAGATCCTATGAGCGACTGGCACTTCTGGTTGATACTGTTGGACCCAGACCAAGTGGCTCCAAGAGCCTGGAAAAAGCCATCCAAATCATGTACCAGAACCTGCAGGAAGATGGGCTGGAGAATGTCCACTTGGAGCCGGTCAAAATACCCCACTGGGAAAGGGGAGAAGAATCTGCTGTGATGCTGGAGCCAAGGATTCACAAGATAGCTATTTTGGGTCTTGGCAGCAGCATTGGGACTCCCCCAGAAGGTATCCGTTGTCTTTTCAAGTCAATTTGCTGTGTACGTTATTAAACTAGTGTCATGGGACATAGTTGATTACAGTATGCATGCTTCATATTATAATTTAGGTGATAAGAAGGATGATAGAATCATTTCTCATTCCATTGGCTTAATGAGTTATCTACTCTTCTTTTTGTTTTTCTTCCTTTTTCCTTTCCTCCCTTTCTTCTATTTCTTTCTGAAAGAAAGTTTATTGTGTAGGGTCACTTTTTATTTTTATTTTTTTCTTATTTTTTATTGTTATGTTAATCACCATACATTACATCATTAGTTTTTGATGTAGTGTTCCATGATTCATTGTTTGTGCATAACACCCAGTGCTGCACGCAGAATGTGCCCTCTTTAATACCCATCACCAGGCTAACCCATCCCCCCACCCCCCTCCCCTCTAGACCCCTCAGTTTGTTTTTCAGAGTCCATCGTCTCTCATGGTTCGTCTCCCCATCTGATTTACTCCCCTTCATTCTTCCCCTCCTGCTATCTTCTTCTTTTTTTTCTTAACATATATTGCATTATTTGTTTCAGAGGTACAGATCTGTGATTCAACAGTCTTCCACAATTCCACAGTGCTCACCATAGCACATACCCTCCCCAATGTCTATCACCCAGCCACCCCATCCTTCCTACCCCCCACCACTCCAGCAACCCTCAGTTTGTTTCCTGAGATTAAGGTCACTTTTTAAATGAAGATCTACAACAATTGATCCATGATATTTATTAGCCCTATCACTTAGTAACTTGTAGCTAGTATAACATTAGTTTCATTCTGTGGAGCATTGAGATAAATGTGTATAGGATGGAAAAACTATAATTTCCTCCAAGCAACCTCAATGTACAGAAATTTTTAGAATTAATGAAATGGGGAACAGATCTTTACACATGGAATTGATTTGGGGTTAATTATTTTTATAGAACCAGAGGCCTCAAAAGCAAGGAATTATCCAGGGTGAATTTCTACCTTTACTTATCAGCACCCTAGTTCAGCTTCATCAGATAATATAAATGACTAGATCAGGGATATATAACTGGTCACTAGTGAGCTGTGAATCAGTCTTGGACTATTCATGGACTGTTTTCCTATGGACTGTTCATGTATTCATGGACTATTTTCCTATGGCAGAGAAACTATTTTATAGAAGCTAGTTCTGCATGGAGCACTGGGTGTTACACACAAACAATGAATCATGGAACACTACATCAGAAACTAATGATGTAATGTATGGTGATTAACATAACAATAAAAAATCAAAAAAAAAAAAGAAGCTGGTTGACATTCTCTAAAAAGTTTATAGAAAGTTCTGACCTTCTCTAATGCCAAAAGAAAGACCCAGTATAGAAGTAGATGGTCAGTTTTTTTAAAAAAATCTTTTTTGAGGTATAATTCACATACCATAATATTCACTCATTTAAAATTTACAATTCAGTGGTTTTTAGTATATTCACAGAATTGTGCCTCTACTGCTACGATCTAATTGTAGAACATTTTCATTGCCCTAAAAAGAAACTTCATACTCATTAGTAATTCCTTTGTATCCCTCCTGTACCTCCCTCCTAAGCCCAAGGCAACCACTAATTTTCTTTCTATCTTTATGGATTTGCCTATTCTAAATATTTCACATGAACAGAATAATATACTGTGTGGTCTTTTGTGACTGGCTTTTTTCATGTAGTGTAATGTTTTCCAGGTTTATCCATGTTGTAGCATGAATCAATACTTAATTCATTTTTATTATTGAATAATATTCCATTTTATGAATATACCACATTTTATCTATCCATCAGTTGATGGACATTTGTTTTTTCTTATCTTTTGCTATTGTGAATAATGCTGCTAAAAACCTTCATGCATAAGTTTTTGTATGGATATATGTTTTCATTTTTCTTGGGTATATACCAATGAGTGGAATTGCTGGCTCATACAGTAACTCTATGATTAACTTTTTGAGGAACTGCCATACTCTTTTCCCAAGTGACTGTACCACTTTACATTTCCATGAGTGTATTCCAATTTTTACACATACTTCTCAATACTTGTTATTGTCTATCCTTTTGGTTATGGTTATCCTGGTGGGTGTGAAGGGATATCTCACTGTGGTTATGATTTCCATTTCCTTAATGATTAATGATGTTGAGCATCTTTCCATGTTCTTATTGGCCAGTTGTGTATCTTCTTTGGAGAAATATTCAAATCCTTTGCCCAATTTTTAATTATGCTATTATTATTGAGTTGTAAAATATCTTTATGTACTCTGGATACAAGTCCCTTATTAGATGTATGGTTTATTAATGTTCTCTCCCATTCTTTGGATTCTCCTTTCACTTTATTGATGGTAATATTGCTGCAGAAAAGTTTTTACTTGGATTTAGCACAACCTTTCTAAATTTTTTTTGTTGTTGCTTGTGCTTTTCATGTTATATCTAAGAAACCTTTGCGTAAACCAAAACCTTTGCCTAAATCTCTGCCTCAACCTTTGCTTTTCATGTTATATCTAAGAAACCTTTGCCTAAACAAAGATTTATTCCTATATTTTCTTCTAAGAGTTTTATAGTTTTAGCTCGTACAGTTAGATCTGTGAATTAATTTTCATATATGGTCAGGTAATCCAATCTTCATCCTTTTGCATGTGGTCATTCAGTTGTCTCAGCATCATCTATTGAAAAGACTATTCTTTCCTCATTGAATTGGGTGTATTACATTAATGGATTTTCAGATTTTAAACCAACTTTGCATTCCTGGGATAAATTCCACTTGGTTATAACATAAAATTTTTTTTATATATTACTGAATTCATTTTGCCACTATTATGTAGAGTAGTTTTACATCTATACTCATAAGGGATATTGTTCTGTAGTTTTATTTTATGTGTGTGTGTGATGACTTCATCTGGTTTGGTGTCAGGGTAATTCTATACTCAAATAATTGATTGGAAAGTACTACCTGGTATTTTATTCTTTGGAAGAGTTTGTGACAGTTTGGTATTAATTCTTTAAGTTTTTGGTAGAATTCACAAGCTATCTGGTCCTGGGATTTTCTTTGTGGGAAGATTGTTAATTATTTTATTTTATTTTTTTAAGATTTTTTATTTATTTATTTGACAGAGAGAGACACAGTGAGAGAGGAAACACAAGCAGGGGGAGTGGGAGGAGAAGCAGGCTTCCCGCGGAGTGGGTAGCCTGATGCGGGGCTCGATCCCAGGACCCCGGGATCATGACCTGAGCCGAAGGCAGATGCTTAACGACTGAGCCACCCAGGCGCCCCAAGATTGTTAATTATTAATTTAATATTTTCCTTGTTATAGATCTATTCATATTTTCTATTCTCAAGTCAGTTTTAGTAGTTTGTGTCTTTCTAGGAATTTATTCATTTTGCCTAAATTGTGTAGTTTGTTGGCATATGGTTATTTACAGTATTTCCTTATAAGTATTTTTATTTTTGTGAGGACAAGGATCCACATTACTGTTTGGTGTCACGTATTTTCAGCCTGAAGAATTCCTTTCATTTTTTTTTTTCAAAGCAGGTCTGTTAGCAGAAAATTCTCCAACCTTTCATCCATTCGTACTTATTTATTTAATTTTCATTTTTGAAACATAGTTCTACCGGATATAAGATTCTTGGTTAACAATTTTTTACTTTCAGCACTTTGAATTTGTCATCCATCGTCCTTTGGTCTCTGCTGCTTCTGATGAGAAGTCCCTTGTTAATATTATTGGGATTCCCTTGTATGTGATGAGTCATTTTGTTCTTACTGATTTTCTTTTTATTTGTGGTTTTCATAATTTTGATTCTGATGTACCTAGGTGTCTATGTCTTTGCTTTTTTCTTGCTTGGAGGTTGCTGAGCTTCCTGGATGTATCTAGTGTTTTTTAATCAATTTGGGAAGTTTTCAACTATTATTTCTATGAAGATTTTTCTACCCTTTTTTGCTCTTCTGGGACTTCCACTGTGAGTATGTGGGTGCAATTAATGGTGTTCCACATTATTCTGAGGTTCTGCTCATTTTTCTTCCTCCCCCCTTTTTTCTCTCTATTCTTTACGTTATATAACCTGTATCAATCTTTCATCAAGTTCATGGATTCTTTCTTTTGCTAGTTTAAATATATGGTTGAGTCCTTTACTGATTTTTTCAGTTATTATAATTTTCAGCTCCAGAATTTTTTTCCTGCAATTTTTATGTCTTTATTGATATTCTTTATTTGCTAAGACGTTGTCATCATACTTTTCTTTAATTCTTTAAGTATGGTTTCCTTTAGTTCCTTGAACATATTAATAAAAGCTGCTTTGAAGTCTTTTTCTCATATATCCTACAACTGGGCCCCCTCAAAGGCCGTTTCTAAGGCCTGATTTTTATCCTATGTATTGGTCACGCTTTTGTATTTCTTTTCATGTCTCATCATTTTTTTTTGTTGTTGAAAACTAAACATTTAAAATAATATATTCTAGCAACTCTCGATACTGATTCTCCCTTTCCCTCTCCTGCCTGCTGAAGGTTGATGTTGTTTTTGTTGTTTGCTTTGCCCTTTATTTGTTTAATGATTTGGTTGTACTAACTCTGTGAAGTCTGTTTCCCTCACAGTGTACAGATTCTAATGTCCCTGTTTAGAGTGCTTTTTTTCCCTCCTTTTTTAACTTTTAGTATGGCGTACTAGGAATCAGCCCTGGATCCCCATAAACTAATTATTGGTTAAAGGTTGTGCACAGATCTCATTAGTCGGTTATATTTTTCCCCTTTACTGTTGGATGTACACATGGCTAGGGGGCTGTTATTAAAACTTAAAGAGTTTACGTTTTTGCCCCAAGTTCAGCTACAGCCTAGTAACTTGGAAGTTCTTTCTACCATCAACCTTGAGAGGGTACAGCCTAGGGCATGTACATACTCTTCCAACTTGCTAGGATCCAAGTGATTTTATTATTATCTTGTTTAACAATATTTTCCTCCGTATCAGAATAGCTTATTTTTCAGATTGCAT